AACCGGCAAGCTTACTATTATAGTGTCGCTTAAGAAGTTCTTGTCTAATCGATTATTTAGCGGGAATATAGTACCTGCCCTTAAACTTTAAGTAACCTTTGTCGTCGATCGACTAATTATTACTCTTACTAAATCGAGTCTTTCGTCTACTTATAAGCTTATCGATACGTTTAGTAGTAAAGGCGTCCCTCTACTAAGTACGTAATAGCTTATCTATAAACAATTAACTATCCCTATTCGTAAGGTTATTTAATAGCACCCTCGCTATCGAACGAGGTATATATTATATATATCTAATAGTACTAGTAGCTAGATTAACTATAGCAGTGCTTTAATCGCTATTACTATATATAGCGATATCGACTAGGGAGTTATTATAACTTCTCCTATCTATGTCCTTAATACGCACTATTAATATAGTAAGAGCATTAATATGCTTTAAGCCGTCGCGGAGTCCGGTAAGCCGCTTATCCTACGCCTACTTATTAACAATACGGGCTATAGTAATCTTATGCTATAGGGTTAGAAACAAAGAATTGATATACTAGGTCTCGCTATTATAATTAGGTCGCCTCGATAGGCTATTAGCAGGGTTACTTACGCCTAGCCGATATAATATATTAAAATCGAACCCGGCGAGGTAGACGGCCTATCTAGCCTATCGACCTATAACCCTAGTAACCTTAGTAATACTACGGAGGTTGTTATAGTCCGTATAGACCTGTATTATATATTAAGCCCTATCGAGGTAGTGCCTCTAATACGTAAAGGCCTCGATAATAGCTAGCAACTCTTACTCGTAGGTCTCGTAGCGACGCTTAGTATTAATTATCTTTCTCGAGAAAAAGGCAATTAGGTACTAATAATAGTCTTTATTAGACTGCTAAGACATAATAGCCGAGATAGCAAACTGCGAAGCGTTAGTCTTAATACGAATTGGTTTACTTAGTACGAAATAGTATAGTAAGGGGACTTTAGTAAAGCGTTGCTTTAGACCGTTAAAAGCGGCTTATACTCTATTAGTCTATTTAAACTCTCTAGTTAGGTTAGCCTTAGTTTTAGTAAGTTTAGTTAGGGGCATTATATGCCGTAAATAGCCCTTAATAAAGCGGCGGTAGAAGTTAGCAAAACATAGGAATAATTGAAGGTCCTTAATACTAGTAGGTATTAGCTACTTAGTAATAGTTTTAATCCGATTAGGATTAGCCTTAACACCCTTAGTTAATACGAGGAAGCTAAGGAAGGCTACCTCCTTAGTAGTAAAGATGTATTTAGAAGGCTTATAATATAGTCTATAGGTCCTTAGGCGATCGAGTACCTTACGTACTATAGCCTAGTATTCCGCAATATTAGGTAAGTATATATAGACTAGGATATTATCTAGGTAAACTATATAGAGGTAGTCTAGTAGGCCTAAAAGGGCCCGATTAATATAGGACTAGAATGTTATAGGGGTATTAGCTAGGCCGAATAGTATAACTAAGTACTTAAAATAGCTATAGCGAGTACGGAAGGCTATTTTCTATTTATCGCCCTTACGAATGCAGATACGATAGTACGCATCCTTAATGTCTAGTATAGTATAGAAATAGGCGCTAGATAGGCGATCGAGGGTCTTATTAATAAGAGGAAGTAGATAGCGGTCTTTAATAGTAACAGCATTAAGTCTACGGTAATTAACGTATAAACCTAGGCTACTATCCTTCTTTAGTACGAATAGGATAGGTATACTAGCAGGGCTGTTGCTATACTAAATTCGACTATTAGCTAGGTTCTTATCTAGGTACTTACGCAATATAGTAAGCTCTCGCTTACTAAGATTATAGAGGGGCCTAAAGGGGACCTCTTTGCCCTCTATAATGTTAATCTTATAATTAGTCTCTTTAAACATAGGCAATATCGATACTAGGTAGTATTTAAATATATTAATATAGGTCTCCCGAATAGGCCGTAGTATACGAGCAAGCTAATTAGGATCTATGCTATCGGGGGGTATAGGTTCTTCGTTATTACTACCGAGCAGGTCGGCAGTCGGATTAGCTAGGGTTAGGTTGCTAATAAATAGGACCCTAATATCGTTAGGGCACTCGCTAGTATTAATGTGTTTAATATCCTCTTTCCTAGCGATTCTAAATCGCTACTATTAGCTGCCTAGGTCTATAGCTACGGCGTAGTGCTTAAGAACAGGGTTTCTAATAACAATATCGGATAGAAGGTTATCTATGTCTACTACGTAGGCGGTAAAATCTAGCAAGCGCTTGTTACCGAGGTCGTCTCTTAGAACTATAGGAATATAGTAAGCCCTATAGGTTAAGTGCCGAGCATTATTAAACTAAGCAAGGGTTAGTAGGTTAGCCCTATTTAATTGTCGAAGGTCTAATTGCTTAGCTAGGCGATAGCTAATAAGGGCACTAACTAAATTTCCTAGATCTAGTATAACCTTAGTCTTATAGTTAGTGCTATATAAGTCCGATACAAGATAGGTGCGTATAATAGCTAGTACAATGTCGATAGTTTTACGCCGTATAAGGCTAACAGTTAGTGCGGCGCTTATTCTTTTTTCGACTAATAGGAAGGACTAATAGGGGTAGCATTAGCGGCTAAAAGGTGCTTTCGGTATTTAGCGGTAGTACGGTCGACTCGGGCCTAGTCTCGAGGCCTATTATATTAGCCTAGTAAATAAGTAGTGCTACTACAATTGAAGCACTTATATCTAGTTAGGGCACTACTAGGTCCGCTCGAATTAGTGCTAGAATTAGATAAACGATTAGGGGTATATAGAAATAAGCCCCTTCCTTGTCCTCTTCCTCGCTAGGGGTTTCTACTACGGTATCGGCCCCTACCTCTTCTACGTTAGTCGTTACTGTTTCTATTATTAGTAGTGTTAGTTTAGGGAGTCCTTCCTTAGTTTCTACTACGGCTACGGTTACTACGGTTAGTACTAGCTAGTCGGATTCTCGATTCTAGTCGTTACTAGAGCTAAATAGCTCGTTTAGCTGTTTCTACTTCGACTATAAATTAAATGCGTATTAGATTAGCCTGTTCAAATATACGGCGGCGGTCTAATTTAAGGACTAATTCCTATTTTAATTTAGGGCGTATTTCGGAGATCTAGATAGAATTAGTCTTAACCGGCAAATCGTCCTCGAGGGTCTTTAAATAGGCCTCGAAGGATCGTAAGGATTAGTCGGCCTTTTGTTTAGTACGCAGGTATTAGTCCTATATATATTGCTGTCGTAATATAGGGTTGCTAAGAGTGTTTAGCATAATAGTCTTATAGTCCTGCTACTAAATAGCGGTCTAGTCGTAAAGGGAATCAAAATAGTTATCCTATATACGCTTAGGGTTACCGTTAATATACTATATAGTATAGACAACTAAGGAATAGTTATCTAGTAGCGCTCTCGGTGCATTTTGCTAGTTTAGCTTACAATCGCGTATATAATTATTATACTGCTTGCGGCTAGAGCCGTTAAACACGGTATAGTCCTTAAGTTTAGTATCCTTCTTCTAAACTAGGACGGATAGTAAGGAAGGCCCTACTATCTACTTAGTATTAGTTGCTAGGGCTTCCTATAGGCGGCGAATTTCGAGGAGGTTGTCCTTTAGTTATTATTCTTAACGTAGAGTAGCGAGCCTGTTTTAGGTAGCTTCTTAAAGTCTCGCTACTAGCTAGGGGCTAAAGGCTAGTTAGCTATATCGACGGTTAATAATATTGCTAAGAATGTCGTTAATAGGCAATTCTAGATTATTACCCGGAACTATAGGTTCTTCGATAGGCCTAGTAGTAGGCTCTCTAGTAGTAGGCTCTCTAGTAGGTGCTTTAGTAGGCACTTTAGTAGGCACTGTGCCGCTAGCGTTGTCGTTACTAGCGCTACTAGCCGCGCTACGATTGTTATTGCTTCGTAATAAGCCGGCTATTATAAGGGGTAATACTAATAATGTATTATAGCCCCTTATAGTGCGGATATAGCGGAATTAGTAGGTATCGGCTTAGTGCGATTAACTTAGTGTAATAGGCCGTATAGAAGGCCTTGCTTAATAATTAGTACGGTTGTTTTAGTAGAATAGTACGTATAGGTCCCGTTCTTCGGGCGCAATATAGTTAAATCGATAGTTTTCGTAGTTATACCGCTAAAAGCTTAAAATAAGGACTATCTAGCTACTACCCTTAAAGGGTAGATCGAATACTATATAATAAGGGTTATATTAGTAGGTAGATAGGGTAGTAGTAGGTATAGGTAGTATTCGATAGAGATCTAGGAGGAGAAGGAGGAAGGTAGGCTAGTTAGCCTAACGCTAAGCGCTAAGCCCTACCTAAGGCACTAAGACCCTAGCTTTACTCGAGCTAGTTATATACTAATTACGTATAGCCTCTAATACTATAAGGGCTTATATATAATCTATCTTAGGGTAACTATACTATACTAGGTTATTTATAGTAGCTCTAAAACATTCTATAATATATTTAATATATAGTATTATAATATATTCTAAGCTAATAGATAATTAATACAAGATTTATTAAGTTATAAATACTATTCTATCTCGTACTAATTAATATAATCTTTCTTTTTTATTATTATTATTTATAGTAAACGTAAACTACTATAATTAGGGATATCTGTATTCTACTAGTAGTAACAAGTCTTAGCGCTCTACTAGGAGAAATAATCCCCTTTATAACCCCCCTCTATTACCTATAGTAGGCTTCTATTAATATTATTCGAATTCTTATACTATAAAGTATAAGAAGTAAAGATATAAAGAGTATATCTAGAGTCCTCGTTATACTATCGCTATATAAAGATACTATTATTATAGATATTCTATAGGACTAACCGAGAATTCTAATATATACTAAGCCTAACGAGAAAAGTTAAAACCGCGATACTATAATAATAAGTAATAACTATAGTTTAAGATATAGATATTCGAATTTAGTAGATACGATTATACCTTATCGTATCTAGAAGACACTATATCAATAATAACGGTAGATGGCATCGACAGTTTAAACTTGTAGTGTATAAAACCCGAAAATTTGAGTTTAGCTAAGCGAGTTGCCAGAATACAGAGACCTGCAATTGGGCGAAGATGCGGGAACATCCGCTTCACAATGCCTATCTCCGCTGCTCGCCGCTACTGTTACAAACCTTCAACCACGCGAAACGCTGGAATTTTTACTTATACCTCTGACCATTCCTTCATCATAGACCGAGATGGATGTTTCCATTCTCAGGGATTAGATGCCCAGACCTCAGGCCAGCCTCCTGCTGTTGCGATGGAGGTGATAAGTCCTACCGAAACACGACAACGCAGGCGCGCGACATTTTCTTGTACGTAGCGAGTGATGATATATTTGGAGACAAATGTGCTGATATGGCTAGCTTGAAATTTTGCAAGAGTTTCCTCGAGGGAGTCGCGACACCGCCGCCTACCGATACTGAGCTGATTCCAGAGAATGGGAAGTCGCGACCTGCTCATGCCAAGCTTTCAGGCCCGCAACACAATATCCGCTCGTGTGCCTTGGCCACGCCATTCTTCATTCACATTCACATACGTGTGAAAGCTCTCATCATCAGCTGTTTCATCGACCAGACTTCTTCAATGAAGTAAAGTACAGCACGTCCTCACCCAGCTCAGATCAGCTCGCCATGGCGACTTCTACTACGCTCGTCGATAGATTTCGCGAAGAACTTGAGCAAATCTGCCGTCTCGAACCCCATACGCTGAATCCAGTCACCCCATGGCTACTCCATTCACAGCTGGTATTTCGAGTGCCTCCTGAAGAGATGGGAACGCTCTGCGACTCTTTCCGACTCTGCACCTCTGTCGGACCTCATTCATGGCCATTGGGTCGAAGAGAATGGAGTGCACGTACTCATGGGCCTGGAGATCTGGCAGAGCACACGCGCTGGCCGATCCGCCGGCTCTCGCGTTATGTCTCTGGCCAACAACGACCCAAGGCAATCGGCCAAGCGACTTCAGCACCTCAGACTCAGCGCTTCGACGGAGATAGAACCCAGTGCAGGAGCTCCGACTCCCTAAGCGATACTGGACTATAGCTTACTGCCTACGTATAGGCGTTAGACTTAATCCTGCTCTAATTAGCGAGATTATTAATTAGCTTAGACGAAAGGAAAAGATTTATCTTTTATTTATCTTTTACTTATATTTTATTTATATTTAATTTATCATTTATTTATCTTTTATTTATCTTTTATTTATCTTTTATTTATCTTTTATTTATCTTTTATTTATCTTTTATTTATCTTTTATTTATCTTTTATTTATCTTTTATTTATCTTTTATTTATCTTTTATTTATCTTTTATTTATCTTTTATTTATCTTTTACTTAACTGCTACTTAACTTTTACTTAACTCTTACTTAACTTTTACTTAACTTTTTTATACGGAGACTGCTCTAGTAGTACGAGTCTCGCTTATAGACATAGTAACTAGACCTATACTATCGTCTAGATCTTAATATGCGGGCTCTAAGTCCTCTCGAGTCTTCTTTAGACGACGCTTCTTAGCTGCTATATCCTTAAGAGCTTGCTACTTATTCGATTAGTCTAGGTATCGAGACTAGAAATAGAAACAGTAGCTAGGCGCAATGGATCGAGACGCTCTTCCTCGGCCTTCTCGCTAATGTAATCTGAGACTTCATGGTTCTGCGGGCCAATAAAGACACAGTGATCAGTATTCTCGAGGATAAAACCTGTTAAGCGAATTGTAGTATACGTCTTGCTCGTGACGCCAGGACCACGGACCAGCATCGTGCCAGTCTTGAGCTTGCGAACTCTATACGGGGCTCTACGCTGCTGATCGTTGAACTGGCCTTTCTTGCGCATGAATTTGTTGTGCTTGTCGTGGAGCTTCTGCGCCTGCTCCTCGCTGGGGCTCTCGCTGGAGGGATTGGTCTTGGTCAGGTTCTCAGATCCCAAGCCACGGGACATCGAGACCGGCCACGAATAACCGCGAGAGCTGGCTTGAAGATTCGGATCGGGGTTCTCGCTGAAGGGATTGGTCTCAGGTAGGTTCTCAGGTTCCAAGCTACGAGACATCAACACCGGCAGCCAAGTTCCTCGAGAGCCGTCTTGAAGAGTCGGATCATAGGGTTTGGCAATGGCATTGAGTTGTAGGCGAGCAGTCGCGTCGTTCTCCTTGACTTCGAGCTTGACGTCGGACAGTTCCACGGCATCTGGGTGGGTCAGTGCCGACTTGAAACTCAGTCACCATGTGGGAGTTGAAGCTCGAGCGATCGCGATTGTGGTTATCAGCACCAAGTGCATGTTCTGGAAGCCGAAGGTGTTGTCAATGCTCAAGCATCTAGCCTTGACCGGCTTCTTGACAGCTGGATGAGTCCTCAGTACCAGATGGGAAGGTGGTGACCTCTCGATCAAAGCCCTGCAGAGGAGCAACGGTGTACTTGACTGTCAAATAGACGAGCGCTCCAATGCCAAGACCTATCGCCTTGTGAGTGTTTGCAGCTCCTGCAGTGTACCATTGGTCCGCTTCTCAGAGAATGCAACAAGCGCGTCGCGATACAATAGTCTGTCTTGGCTTGCTTGCGAGCACGTGCATGCGCTGTCCTCTTCTCCTTGCGCAAGTTCTTCTTCTGTTATCTGCTGTTCTTGATTTCTGTCTGCTCAGCCTGGACTTCCTTCAGCTGATTGGTCGCCTGAGCAATCTCGTTCGCAAGAGCGCGCTTTTTGGGGCAATGCCATCAAACTCGACTTCGAGGATCTCGATCTCGTCTTGAAGGGTGGCTTTGGCGACCTTAAGAGATTCCTTCTGCTAACGAGCCTTCTCCTCTGCTTCATCAGCGTCAGCAGCAAGGAGAGCCTCGCAGTCGTGCTCTAACTGACAATTAGCGCGGACGCGTCAGAACCGAGAAGAATAGGTTGAGAAGAAGGAAGAACCCCAAGAAAATGAATGTGCCGAGGAGACATGTGTCTACTATCACTTTTATGAGGCGCAATACACGACAATCCTAGAGGAATGTAAATATGTCAATAGCAATATTTCGCTCGAAATAAAATGTAGCAATGTCATGAGCACAAGCTTCGAGGATGTTCGAAGAGCAAAATATCGTCAAACATGTAATAACAGGTTCGAGCATGCTCGAACCTGTTCGAGAAGCTTGGCGACACTCTAACTTGATATATGCAAAAGGCCAAAAAAATTGGTTGCATCTCTTTGTTCTAATAGACAGTTAGCATGAATTGTTTGATAAATATAAATAAAGTCGTTACTCCCCTTCGAGCATGCTCGAACCTGTTCGAGAAGCTTGGCGACACTCTAACTTGATATATGCAAAAGGCCAAAAAAATTGGTTGCATCTCTTTGTTCTAATAGACAGTTAGCATGAATTGTTTGATAAATATAAATAAAGTCGTTACTCCCCTTCGAGCATGCTCGAACCTGTTCGAGAAGCTTGGCGACACTCTAACTTGATATATGCAAAAGGCCAAAAAAATTGGTTGCATCTCTTTGTTCTAATAGACAGTCAGCACGAATCGTTAATATTCAAGTAGAATTTTGGGCCGGCTCACTGCATGTGTCATCCTTAGTGCAGGGGCCATGCTCTAGGGAACTGTTAGCTCAGCATTCAGAGGGTGTCACGTGATTTTTTTTACAATCTTCTCTGTCTGTAAAGGGTTAGCGCGGAACTATAAATCGTCGGCGGGATTGTCTACACACATTGTTTCAAATTGACCAAATGCCCGAAGGCAGAGTGTCGGCAATAGTGGACAGCTTATGTATCTTGAACAGCTCGGCTCGGCCCGTGTCTTGGCAGTCCCCAATCAACTACATGTGGTCCCGAACGGAGTTCCAAGCCAGACCAAGGGCCGACATGTTCTACAGTACACTCGACATTATCCACGAGAGAACATATGCTGCTTTTATTCCATCGATCCCACACAAGTTTCTACTCGCTACCGCGAATCTGATCTCCATCACGCCATTTAAATTAACACGATAAGGAAATGACTACTTTCCAGATACCCTCTCACCTTTCCTTTGCGTCGACTCATTACCTGCATACGGCCCAACGACCTGCCTCTGCAACGAGACTGCATATTGTCTGCGTTATTATGGGGAAAAGCCTTAAAACTACAGTTCCACTCCCGAGCAACAGTGAGGTCCACGACGGTGATAGTCACCTATATTGACATTTTTGATGCCTCGTTGCTCTTCGATGATGACCGTAGTCCATCAGAACAATGTTTCTGGACTGTTTGACGATGACTTGCGTTCGAGATTCGATTCAGGGGCCAGGACTCAGGGGCGGCGATGACCCCAATTTGATGACAACATCACCATTGACGACATAGTCGACACAGGTATTGATGGAAGAACATATTCTGCGGTTCGCGTCATGTTCATCCTTGGATCATGAAATGCTGCTGAGGTTGAGGTTGATTCCAGCTCGGCGATCGGTCCGAAGCAGTTCCAGACACCATGTTGGACGTCGACCAGCATGACAGCATGGCATCTTGACAAAGACTTAATAGTACGCCTCGCAATCACCATTTCAACATGTCTTCCTGCCGTAGGGGATAAGTTGGCAGTATCGAAGCGTTCGTAGAGGTTGGGACGTTCTACAGCACGAATACAGTTCAGATCAATAATACTGTGCATCCACGCTGTTCTCCAGTGAAGCCTTACCTTTTGTTTCTGTAGGTGATCACTACAGCGATTGCATAGCCGTTGTGGTGGATTCTGCGACCAAGACTTGACACCACTCGTTAAAAACATCATTCGCAAACATAGCTAGACTGTAGCATGCGGTCTCTCTCTCTCATATGAACCCAGACAGTAAAAGCCATCGCCATCGTAAAGTCCCATCCAATCCCGCTATCACCCAAACAGAAACGCCAGTCATTACGCAGACATAGTCAAGCATCTTCCCACACGAGGATCTCGCCCTTCACATCTCCCTTACCGTCAACAACAAGCATGTCGACAACTTCCTCCTTCTTCTCAGCCGGCGTAGCGAAGAGATCCTTCAAATCCATCCCAAGCCCCTTCGGCTTCTCAGCCTCCCCATCGACGATGACATGAGAGTCCTTAGTCAAGCCCTCAGGAATGAAAGGCTCGGTCTCGAGATCGCTCAGTGGCGAGCGAGCACCGTCATCCATCTCATCCACCACAATCTTCTTCCTCACGATATCCGTCTTCTTGATCTGACGTGGAGCGACACCTTCGACTGGCGATCGCGAAGCCGTTGGCGCATCGTAACCTTCAGGCGGAGTGTTCTCCTTTCCACGATCATCCTTCTGCTTCACGACACCCTCGTCGTCCGAGCTGAGGTCGAGCGTCAACGTGCTGTGCTCCATCAGATTCGCAGCCTCCTCCTCGGGAGTGTCCTCGTAGATGTCGAAGAACCAGTTCTTAGGCATGCTTTCCTGGATCGTGGCACCGGCACTCTTGGTCACGGGAGGAGTAGACGCGGTCCCGCTCAGAGCAGCGTCAAGACTGAACGGCAGAGTCGAGACACCACGAGAAGCGAACGAAGGCGGATCGATACGTGAGAAGGGTGCAGACACACGTCGATTCTGCTTCAGTCCTGCAATCTTGCGCTTTGGGGAACGTCCAGCTGGAGCGGTCAATGGCGTGCGTGGAGACGAAATGTTGGCCCTAACAGGTGTCGCCATGCGTGATGGAAAGGCAGATGGTGGCGGCATTGATTTGGCAGAAGTCAGACTGAAAGTAAACGGCTTTGCAGCATCGCTCTTGGACTTCTTTGGAGGAGAATCAAACATTGCCGGGTCGACATTTTCGGCGTCGAAATCGTCGAATGTGGAAGGTTCGAAAGAACGCTTGTTTGTGCTGGGCTTGGTGATGCTGATTTTGCCATTGAGATCTGTGGAGGATGATTTCTGTGCAAGCACGCCTTTGATAGTGGTAAGTTACACGTCTTTTCATTCTGCTTCGCCACGTCCTGCCTACCATTCTGGCGATTCTTAGCACTGGCAAGATGCTGGAGACGCGGGTTGTCCAGTGGCGCGAACGGCACTCTCGCCATCGGAACGTGAGCAGTCATGGTAAGAGATCGGATGCTCGTGACGTGAAGTGTCAGACGCGTGCAATGGCGGCCTCAACCCCCAGTCTAGTATGCTCGCGCGAGCGTGGAGTAGTTTGGCACGATCTCCAGCTATGCCCTCCACGTGTTTGTGGTTGTTGATGTGTCGAGAATGGGATGTTGTTGCAGCAAAAGAGCGTGATGGTGGTGACTCGAGCTGAAGATGGAGTCGAACACGTCCAAACGAGGTCGAGTCTTGATCAGCAGGTTGGCGGCGAGGGGCGACTTCTGCAAGGCGCGCTTCAGTACGTGTTGGATTCGTGAAGTGAGGGAACGAGAAGCGCCAATCATTTCAGCCTGCGCTCGAGCTTCGACTCCACATCTGTCGAAAAGGGCAACGCCAACGCCGGCACGCCGTCTTTGACCAGGATATGGGCAGCGCGAATGATGCAACTCTGCACTTCAGATGGTTGGCGATTGCACGGCAGTAGGCCTTCACGCAAGGCATTGGGCGTCGGAAAGAGAGAGTGGCTGTAGAGTTACATATGAGATCACGAAACCCTCAACTCCAATGCAACAGAGCAAACCAAGCGCGTCGTCGGTTTCGCCTATCTTTGGACTACCATGCTCTGGTAAAAGGCCCTTGCTAGCTACCACGTACTTGTAGGACTCCAATGCTCTGCAATCCATGCCTGTGAGATCGGCTTCACCCAGCGCCTACACCACACTGCTGTGCCCTGTTTGGGATCCATAACACATGCAAAGTGTGTCTCTTCGTTTGTCGTGGGGTACATCTGCACCAGTCTCACAATATGCTCGACATCAAGCAGTCTCGACGAATCGTCGCCCTCCAATACTGCCGATCGATGCCGCTTTGCTGCGTCTGCTTTCATTGCGTTGTAATTATCTCCAGCACACTTCCTTCGATCCTGTGCTTCGTCCAGAATCTCCTGCAATGCTCCTACATATTGAGATGTCTGCTCTCCTGAAGTACTGTTGGCCGACTCTGCTTCTAGGTCGTTGTTGGTGATTACAATCAGCTCATTGCTTGATCTGAACACGGCAGTCCTGTAGTCCTTCTCGAACACTGTCGTCTCCTGTCCGTTGCTAAAGCACAAATAACATGCAGTTGTCTTCATAGGCTTTCTGCCACTACACTTGACCTCCTCAACAATCTCGGTATATTTAGGCGAGCTCCAAGGCACTTCCTTCTCTTTCTCTTTCGCATCGTGCTTCGTTGGCTTCGGCAACAGAAACCGTCTTAGCTCGCTGGAAATGCTCCGCCTTCGACCAAGCAGGACCATTGCCAGATGCCAATAGTATTTGGCGTCGGCAATCCACTTTCCCTTCTCCAGTCGATTAGGACGAAAGTTCAAGCTAAGACTGAGATCCTTTTTGACTCCAGTCAGCACGCCCACATACCCAGCATAAGTCAGGCTTGAGGCCACGACAGGTCCGCCCTCTTGCGTGACGAAGTCAAGCTGAACGACGATCTTCCTCAGAGATGGCATGCCCCAGTCTAGAGTCCGAAAATGCAGCATCTTGACACCTGTATCGCCATCTCGTATAGCAGCACCACCCGAGCTGCACCCCATGAACAGGTCAAGCAGCACATTGAAGCACACCAGCAAGTATATCGCGACTCCTGTTGCCTTGCTAATACCCTTGAGCTCTTTATTCTCTTCCGAATCATACACTCCTCGCAGGAGCAAGCGACAAGCGCGGTGTAGCCATTTCAAAGGCACTGCCTGTAGCATACCTCCGACAACCTCATCGAACAACGGCGTGAGATCACTGATCTCCTGCTGGAAAGCTGCGCATACTTCCAGATATCTTTGCTCAGGAGGCAAAGACAGATCAATCACGAATCGTGGTGGAGTGTCAGGATATTTGCTTCGCAAAGAGGATTTCGAGCTCTTTTTCGATTCTGTTGATCGTCGTTGTTGAATACACCCTTCGATCTGGTCCGCGCTAGCAATTGTATGATGGGGCTCTGCGCTCGTAGCAGTAGCTTCTCGAATAGTCCGTGCTCGTGTAGTGGGCGGCATTTTTGAAGCTAAGAAGAAAAGTTAGGAGGAAAGCTAGGTACTTATATGCTACGGCTGCCTGGTTGGCGTTGTGCCGTCCACTCTGTTGAGCAATCGTGGTCATACTGATTTTGATCTCTCTAGCCAGAGCATTTGCTAGCTAGGCGTGGCGTACTTGATGGCGCCGATGCAATGCGATGCACTCATTGCAGTCACACAGCGGCGTAGGTTGAGATGCACAACCCTGCTCCTGCCACGTCTTGGCACTTTCTTGCTGGACAGCTGTCTCACTCATCTCGCCATCTTTCATCGCTGAACATATCAATTTTGCAGATCACGAGACAAAAAGAGAGGCGAAGCACTTTTTCGCACGTCTCCACCGCCTAGTTTTTGTGGACCGCATCGATGAAGGCGAAAATCAGATGAGCTCCTGAGATTGCGAGAGTATCGACTTTCAAAAGCAAGACGTTATGGCGTCAGCAAAACTACGACTACATTTGATGAAGAAATCGAGCAGTTTTCAGAAGTGATCAAAGAGGGACACTAATGGCTTACGTCAAATCTAAAACTATTCTATGAGCCAGCAGGACTTCGGCCCAAATCACAGATTCTCAACCCGCACCTTCTGCGACCCGACAACTGGAGGTACTATCTACTCGCCATGCTCTGGTGACCAGCCTGGTAACCAGGCCATGCCAATCTGCAATCCGATTTCATCTTGACTGCGCGTCTAATCGTGGTACATTCATTACCAGGACTGTGACTTTTCTAAAGCTGATCTTGGCCTCGGTCGCGGGCCAAATGGTGGTGGTGGGTGAATCTCAACTCTGAGCACCCCATTATTGCTCTCCGGTCTATCCAGCTGACCTGGAATCTTCGGATCACCTGGCTTCTTGGAGTACGCAAGAACTTCATCATAGCAGCTAATAGGAGGCTGAAAGATCTCTTCTTCACCTCCACCGCCACGAAGGCCGTGTTGACGACGAGACCCGGATCTCTCCGGTCTACGATATTGGCTCTTCCCATGCTTGAATGTTCTCGGACCATGACTTGGTTCCTTCCGCATCGGTGGTTCCTTCTTGTGATACGGCTTCTTCATACCTTTGGCTTTCTTCTTCTGCTTCTCCTTCTTGGGCTTTTTGCGGCGCTTCTTCTCGTCATCGTCAGATTCAGATTCAGACTCGTCAGCATCGGACAAAGTCTCGGAATCAGAGGCATCCGCCTCAGAGGTATGCTCGTGGTCTGAGTTAGCGTCGTCGCCAGGCTCGTCGGGAGGAAGGCTTGATGATCCCAGGGCCAGTCCGCTACAAGCAGATGCGGGACGAAGAAGAACGGGCTCCTCAACTTGAGCGTAGTACGCTCTGACGTTGGGAAGATGGCCAGGACTATACTCATCGTTTACCGAAGGTTTCAAATTTGGAGCCTCGAAAGTACGTCGTACAGAGTCTTCCAGGTCGTCGTCGGGAACTCTGCGCTGGGGCCAAGGCTCTCCATACATTAATCTCGACCACTCCTCGAGCTCTCGCCTTCTTCCGATCCAAGCATACCCACAAAAAGTGATGCCAATGACGACTTGCGCCATCAAGACTTCCAGGACTGCCATCGGGGTCTGTGATAGTGCTCAATGATGAGAGCGAAATTAAGAGGTCTCTAGTGTACACCGTCCTAATATCATGGCATGAACAGACCTGGTCGCTCAAGTTTTCTTTTTGCCTACAAGATCTTGCTTTCCCAGCATGACAAACAGACCGGTAGGCATGCATCGGCGACATATAATATTGCTGCTACTGATACTTACATTGAAGCGGAATATCCCGCAGGTTTGCTGACGATTGCTTGCTACCAGATGCCTCAGAGATCAACTCCAACGTCCTGTACATGACCTCCAACTCTCAAGCCTTCCTTCGTCAAACCACCACCCATCTCAGCATAGGGTGTTTAGAATCCGCAGTCAGTGTCAACAACAGCGAAGCCGCCAGCCTTTTCTGTGATAGCAGAAGGGCTTTTCGTTTGCGTTCGGATCTAGGATGACTGACTAGTGTCAAGCAATTGCAATGCCTGTTCTGGAGCAGTTTTAAGGCTGAACGTCATGACTCGCCTTCGTAGTACCAGAAGATCAGAAATAATGATGTTGCGTTGTCCGAATTTGGATATATGTCTTGGATCATGCGACAGCTTGATTGTCGCTGTGATCATCAATGCTTCTCAGTGTACGTTGAGCAGACATACGGAGCCTCACGATCACCCGTGAAGAAGTCCCGTTGCTAGCTAGCTCTTTCCGTACCGCTCCGCCGCTTAGTAAGCAGTCACCCCGCCATCTTATCTTTGTTTACTTTACTTCGGTGCCCCGGACATCTTCGGCAAGTAACCATCGCTACGCAACGATCCAATGCACATGTAAAGCACATCACACGCCCGCTGCTGCATGCGACAATGCTCCATTGGCTGGCTGGCCAGAAGCCGCACGACAACAACAACCAAGATCCAGACACCACAGGATATATCGAAGCTCCCGAGACACCTGCGCCGGTCTTCGCAGTACGCGCCTTCAAACATGCTATCTTTGGAACGCCGTCAACACAGCAGAGACAGCCGCGGCGACACTCGAACACCGAAAACAATGCGCGATCGACAAATCACACGCGTCCGCGTATGATGCGGCCGAAGAGCCAAAACGATGCTGCCACATTGGCGAAATACGAAGAAGCAGTCGCGTCGGAGCCACTTCCTTCTCCTACTAAGGGAATCTTGTTGACTCCGGGCACTGCCGGCGGAAAACGCAAAACGGTGTCATTTGGCCTCCACGTCATGGATAATGAAGACAAGCGACCGCTGAAGAGCGGCTTGCCTGATGACTGTCCTGGCAAATTTCCCAGTCCATGGACGAAATTTGATGCTGAGAATGTCGAGGAAGCGGCTGATAGGCCAAGAGAACGCAGCAAATTGACAGAGGCATTAGAACAAGCACGCGATGAATCTATGAAGCGGAGAGTCAAGTTGGGGAGCAGAGACAAGGTAAAAGAAGACGCGGAATTGACCCAGGACCTGGAAGACCCAAAGTCTGATGCTGGAAAGTACTGGAAGAAGGAATATGATATCTATCGGGAAAACACCACGCGTGAGGTTAAGAAGCTCGTGACGAAGCAGAAGTCTGCGAAGAATTACGCCCGAATGAAAGAGGACGAAAACATGGATTTGAGAGAAGAATTGCACCAGGAACGCAAAAAGGTCGATCGGCTTGAGAAACGTTCAATGGAGCTGGAAAGACAGCTGAAGGAGTTTCGGGAGATGCTTCGATCATCGCAAGAACGCGAAAGAGACGCCAAAGATGAGCTTGATCGACTGAAACGAGGCTTTGGCACCACTGCTTCGACATTTAGGCGAATGGATCTGACTCCACCGAAGTCCCAAAGCGAGGAATCCCAACCAGAACAGAAAGATCTGCGAAGCACATATTCGCGCCCAACACTCGTGCCAGCTCCAGAGCCGACAAAGGCACCACCCGTGCCCGCGAAGGACAACACTAAGGATGCATCGAAGCCAGCGACTGTAGAAGGAACGTTTCGTGCTAGGCCGAGGCCTCGGGACCTTCATACAAGACTGGATGACACATGGGCTCCTTCGTCAAGTCTTGATCCACTGAAAGTCGCTCCAGCACCTCCTTCGCCAAAGAGTAGCCGAGCCGTGACGAGCGGCACAGGTGCGTCTCCTCTCCAGTCGCTCAGCATCAACAGCGTGGCGGACACGCGATCCGTTGCTCTGTCGATGGGCATGCAACCTCCTTCGCCCCTGCGAGAGAAACCCATGGATTCTCCCATGCGCCGATCGCCAAATCTATCGAAACCATTACCATCGCTAGACAAGCCATTTGTGCTCGAAGAAGCATCTGGTCAATTCCCACCTTCCAGCCCATTTGACCCGAGCGCAGGCGCCCAGCAGACTAACGTCTCTCCCACAGAATTGAAATCTTCTCGGAAAGGCGCGAACAACACCAAAGAGAACGTCTCGCCATCAAGACCAAAGTCAAGGGACGGACTTTCACAGAAACCTTCAGCTATATGGACCGGCATAGGCGGAGATATCGCTGAACAGAATCGAGCCATTCAAAGTAAGGAGGGTAAAACGTATAGCATGACAGCGTCGGAAAGAGCGAGAGCGAAGCAAGCTGCGAAAGGTAGAATACCTTCTTGAACTTTCATTCCTTCATTAGAGATACCCCGACTTATCAGTGACTGTAGCGTACCAATTGTACAGAATCAACAATGCAACGCAACGTATCATTCTAATGTCTAAGGCTCAAACACTCCTTTATCCATGAGCTCTTTGACTGGCGCAGCTTCCATCCTCACAATCTCAGTCCGCGTCTGTTCGAAATGCGTACACCCATACCTCAAGAGTTCCGCAAACGTCCCCGGCTCAACATCCCTCCCCTCATTCTCATCCCACAGAGCGCCCAAATGTTTGCTCACGGTCAAATGCTTCCCATGCGTAATCTTCTGAATACTAGACTTGGCCAAAAGCCTCCAAACCAAATTCGAAGCTTTCCGATACTCCTCACTTTCGACATCAATATCCGTACGCGTGGATAACGCATCGTAAAAATCTTGTCCTTTGAACCCAATCACGCTCTCCGCGCCCCAGCATTCTTGTAAGGAATCGAAACAGAAGATGTGGGTTTGCCAATATTCGGCACAGGTCTCTCCACCGCCCGGGAGGGGAGAGTTGAGCATGGTGAGGCGTAAGAAGGCCAGGACTTGGGATATATATTCGAAAACGGTCGCGGGATCGACGTTGAAGTCCCAATGAAAATCACTTTGTCGGGAGTCTTCGAAATTCAAATTTGCGGCGAATGCGAGGAGGGGATCTGTCATGATTCCCTTGTGGTCTTTACGTCCTTTCCAGAAGTGTGTGAATAGTTCGTGCCAGGTTTTTATGAAAGGGTCGTGTTTTCGGGACATTACGAAGGAGTTGGAGATTACTTGATCGTACATGATGGGGACTGCGATGCGGTAGGGGGAGGTGGAGGAGGTGAGGGTGTTCCAGGCTATGTGGTCGAGGTGCCGGAAGAGGATGTTTCCTACGTCCATGAAGACTCCGCCGTGGTTGTAGAGGAGTGCGCCGCGGAGGAAGTCGGCGGAGTGAGGGCCTGTGTAGGGGCCTTGCATTGCGCCTTGAACGAAGGATTGGGGGACTTGGTCTGGGGTGACGAAGTTTAGGGCGTAATTTGGGGACGATGGGATGGCGTCTAGTACTCGGATTGTCCATGGTTCTGGGGTGTCGCTGCCATCTCCGCAGATTCTTACCCAGTCGTAGACGTTGCGCTGACACCAGCCTGGCATTTTGTCGATGCCTTTGTCCCAGAAGGCCCAGATGTTCTTTTCGGATGCCACTGGCGCATGTTGAGTGAGTGTTGCGAGGATCTCTGCATCTGATCTGGCGTCTTTTGGTGAGAAGGCCTTGAGTGCTGAGGCGAACTCGGGAGGGATTTGGACATTCGGTCTAGACATGGTGCCCATCGTGCTACTTCTCTCTCTCTCTCTTTGTGTTGTATTGAAGTGTGCAGGCAGAATGCGGAATCGTATCAAGAATGAGGTGTTTGGGGACTGCGAAAATCGCAACGGAGGACGAACCTACTTATATAGAAATGCCATAGAATCGATGCTAGCGTATGTGGTTTCCTATCTTGCACGCATACTGTATGGTTGAAGAAATGCCGATTCCTACTGAGGAAGTCCGTGAGGTCCGCTTGTGCTCTGGAAGATTCAGCTGCCCCACAAGCACAACTCCTGCGCATCCTTCTTGAGCCAGCAGCGTCAATTGGTTGCTCCGACTCTTCAGCCTTCTGTGAAGCACATGGGTCCTGCTGTGGTCCTTCAGGGCTGCCTTTGAAAGCGCACGCTGTGCCGGCACATTGCTGTGCAGACCGGACTTCTGCTGACTACACTCCCAGCACAAACAGTAGTCCTTGTCATAGACTCATATGGTCTTGTATTCGCGAGACTGCACTCCAGCACAAACAGCTTCATCCCACGGGAAGGCAGTCCTTTTCATATCGTCTCCCACTCGCGTGTTCGTCGCTCCATGCTGGTGTGACTTTCTCTTGCTCATGCTCTTGTTGCCTTGTGCACATAGCTTTTTCGACACCACAGATGCCGTTCGAGGTCTCTCTGCTGAAATCCCAGGCGCATTGTGCGAAGCATGCTGTTTCGCAGGTGGACAATTGCAGAAATTGAAGAGGGAAGTGGGCCTGCCTCTATCTCAGGCTATTTTCGCTTTGTGCTCGTAACTTCCTTTATATTCTACGTGCACCGGATCTCGGGTCTTCTCAATGTAGTATAGTATAGAAGGAAGAGCGAGCCTTAGCGAAGCGCCTAAAGACAAACTGCACTAATCGGGCGATTCCTTGCTTGCAACACCTCCTTAGAGATATTAGATAGGCTTACAACTCAACAACTATCGCAGCTGCCGCTAGACTTATATAGAGGGGGTTCTATATTATAGATATACGTAGAATTTGGCCTACTTCAAAATTTTAGTACTATAAAAATAAAGGCTATAGTCTATTCTAACTATACGGATATTCTCGGCTTCGCGTTTGTTCTATAAACACCTATATCGCGATAGATAACAAACCCCTTCTAGAATATACTGCCTATACGAGGAGCCTTAGAAAGTACTCCCCTAACACCTCTAAGTATCGCCTTATCCGGTATCTACTACTATTTACTTGTTCTCGCCGCCTATCGGTACCTACTCCTAAAACAGCCTAAATCGCTAAATCGTCTATATCTTAATACCTACACGTATACCTAGTATACTAAAACTTGTTAGATACCTTCTAAATACACTAGCGATCCTGTTTAGCCTTAAGCGCTACTTATTATTATAGTATTCTAGTATTAAGTATCTCCGAGTCGTATCTAGTGCTTTGCGTAGCGATAGCGATAGCGAGACTCGAGCCCGAGACCTACTATTCTACGGCTCCGCGATTGTTGCCGCTTCGTATAGTCGCGTACGCTACTGTTTACTAGGTTCCGACTGTCTACTAATAGAGCGATACTACTTCTACTAATAGAGCGATACTACTTCTACTAATAGAGCGACATTACTTCTACTAATAGAGCGATACTACTTCTACTAATAGAGCGATAGGCGTCCGCAATGCCGAACGATCTCTCTAACCTCTTAAAGCGCGATCGCAATAAGGCGAAGAAGGGCAGATTCGATATCGGCGACGATACTAGCAATCGGCGTAAGAAGGAAGGCGACTAATACTTCGTCCGCCTACCTAGTCGTCTAGCGATTAATCGTATAGAGCCTTAATAGACTGTCGAGCGTAAGCTAGAGATGCCTACTAATCTAGACGAGGCTAATAAGGCTAGCTAGACAGCCTACTTCGAGGAGCGCTATATTAATATAAACGAGTATAGCCTCGAGGAAGTATAGCTACTTATATAGGATACTAGTAGCAATTAATAGGCGATGCTATTCTATCGTCGTATTGTCGAGCATAGTCTACGGCGTATACTAAAGCTAATACATCCTTATCGCGAGCTATTACTAGAACCGACTAAGATACAGCTCGACTGCGTCTATACTATTATCTTTAGGAGACAGGATATATTGCTTTTAGCTCGTACTAGCGCTAGTAAAACGATTATTTTCTAGGCCTATACTATACTTACTAGTTTTATTATATTGCAGATCGTACTACTTATACGTATCGCTAATAAGTAGAGCGAGGATATAGTAGCCGCTATCCGCTAGTTAGATAAGGAAGAACAGGATCTAATTAAGGTCTGTATTATTACTACCTAAACAAAGGAGAAGGATCTATCTATATTTACTAACATTAAAGAAGGCCGATACTAGTATATTATCTATAGTCCTAAGTAAGCGATAAGTACCGAGTTCTAGGAGGTCCTACGTGCTATTGCCGACCGCCTTAGCCTATAGGTATAGGATAAAGCGTATATGCATCTTAAGTAGAAGGACTTCCGCGTAGATTATAGAGTCCTTTACCTCCTTCGCTAGCTTATAATATAGGATACGACTATTCTCGTATGCTCTGTAATATTAACTAAGGAAACTAAGAAGTATCTACTTTAGCACGGCCTCCGTATATAAGGCGATAGCGCATTCGAGACCTAGGTTGTCTAGAGTACTATCGATCGCCTAGACACTAAGTATATCTTGCAAACGATGCCTTAGGGCTAGATAACAGGTTTCAATTACCTATACTTCGTACTTAAGTATATAGTAGACGCCGATAGCTTAGCGGTACTATAGAATATTTAGAAGACTATTATCTTTATCGATAGTCGCAAGCAGATCGATAAGGCTCGCGTTACGATATGCTAGTAGCTTGTACTCTTAACTAGTAACATTAATAAGGACTCGCCGGCTAAGCAGCATTCTCGGAAGTATACCTAGGATAGAGAGCCGGTAGTACCTAGTAGCTATAGGACTATCTGTATACTCGGCGTTGTCTCTTTCTATACTGCGTATATCGCCGATATTAATAAGGACAAGCGGTATAAGGAATTTAAGAAGTCTAAGTCTCAAATCTGTATCCTATTCGGCACTTTAGCGACTTCTACTAGCGTTAACGTACTAGATGTCGGCTTAGTAATCCAGATTAAGCTTCCAATTACTAAGGATGTCGACGATCTAATGCAGAAGTTTAGTCGTGCGGCTCGCATTCCTAGTATAGAGGCATTAGCAGTTATATTTGCACTATATTAGTTGAATAATACAGAGAAGCGTATACTATACGGTTCTAACTACCGCTCGATAGTTCTACGAGACCCGATAGCAGCTAGCGCTAGTGTCGCTAGTATCGCTAGTATTACTAGTATCGCTAGTGTCGCTAGTGTCGCTAGTGCTAGGCTATACTAAGTATAGGATCATGTTCTAGTACGACTATCTAATCTGCGACATACTACTGTTCCTAGTAAGGAATTCGACGTCGATAAGTCTATCTTCGATGCGTATAGCTAGGATAGAGACGAGGAAGACGAGGATACTGTTATAACCGATCTACTAGCAGTGTCTATACCGCCTCGTCCTGTTCGAACTACTAGCTACCCCTTTTATAATGCTGTCGTAATAGCAATCGCCGAGAACGCGACTAAGAAGTCCTAGTCTACTAAAGAGATAGGCTAGCGTAACAATATACTAGATATCTAGTTATAGTTATAGAATACGCGTTACTACCCGAACCTAGAATATCGCCGCTACTTTCGTAATATAATCTTAGAGATATATAGCGAATACGAGTGTACGTACAGTGTTAATAAGGTCGTAGTAGGCACTGCCGATTGCTATAGTATGTATAATCTAGACCTGCTAGATCGACTAGTCTAGGAGGGCTATACTGCTCTAGTAGTTCTAAAGCTACTAACAGCTCCTAATGTTAGATTAACCTAGCACTATACTCTCCTATTCCTCGAGAGCTTCGTATCTAATATCGTAGAACAGATCTTTCTAGACTAGTACGATAATCGCCTCTTCGGGGTTATCCTATCGACCTTCTTAGTACCCGAGCCTATTCTATAGGATCTGTATAATGTCTTTAGTGCTAAGTACGGCCGGACCGAGAATGCATTTCGAACCTATACATCTAGTAAGGACTACGATACCCCAATTAAAGAGGCGGACATCTAGGAGCGGGCTATAGGGTTCTATACCTAGTATTAAGCGGAGGCTAATAACCTTCGAGAGATCTAGCTAGAAGAAGACCTCTTACTAGAGCTGAATCGCATTATCTTTAGCGTATTTGCTAAGTATAATGTATTCGTTAGAAACAGAGATGCCGAGAAGAAGAAGAAGGCCGAAGAAGCTGCTACTACTACTGCTGCTACTGCTGCCGCCGTAACTCGGATAAGCTAACCTATCGCTAATCGGCCTACTAACTAACAATAGCGCCGTAAGTAGCTATAGAAGAATACATAGAACTCTGCCCGCTCTGCTATCGAGGCCCGCAAGAGGATAGCAGCAAAGAACACTAGAGGCATATAGGATCTAGATTACGAGGAAACTGCGCGTCGCTAAGCAGTAGGAGGCAGCTAAGTAGGGGATAGTAATAGTAGATTAAGCCGTCGGTTAGGCCGTAGCCGTACACTATCGGCTCGAGAGAGAGAGCGTAGGCGTAAGGCTAGCTAGTAGGAAGGTAATAATGCAGAAGACTTGCTAATGTTTAGTATATAATATTCTGCGAGAGCTAGCGCTAGAATTAGCGCTATAATTAGCGGTAAAATAGCGGTGAAATAGCGGTAAAATAGTATTGGAATTAGTACTAGAATTGGCACTAGAATTGGCACTAAAATTAGCGCTAGAATTGGTATTTAATAAGGTCCTTCCTTACTACCCTTCTATTATATCCTTATAAGCTCGCTAAGTCCTTGTTCTATCCCCGGAAAAGTAAGCCGTAATACTACGCTCGATCGCAGGTTATATACTATAAGAGCTAGCGTATAATATAGGATGCCTAGTTAAGTTGCTTCTG